TAAACTGCTTAGCAGGCTTAGCATCTCTTTCTGAACTTCATAACCCATACAGCTTCAAATTGCTGCCAGCAGTTCCTTCTAAATGAGTTCGCAGAGTTTGGCTAACCCGGCACACTTACTGTAAAGAAACTAGGAAATGACAAAGGCATCACAGTCTTCCGGACTACCTGCTGTTCAATTGCGCCTGCCACAAAACCCTGCTGCTTGGCACCATGAGGCTGGCAATGTTGCTGCTGATCGTACCTAGTGATTGGCTATTCAGTCAGGGTGAAATGGAGACTTCGGAGTCTAGGTTCGAACTCACTTTGTAGGGCTTTCCGGATGTGAAGTCCTGTCGGAGTTGCATCCAAGCGAAGAACTTGGATGTTCATAAAGAGATTTGATCAATCCCAAAATTCCAAGTTGGGTACATAAGGTCCTCAATCCTCCGTCATTCAAGTGGCAAAGGAAATCCAACTGCGACACCAAAATCAACAGATTTTGAAAAAGGACATCTAGCTATCCTTTTTGAATGTAGTACAGTATGTAGAGAACTCTTGGCCTCAAATGTCTTCAGTGTAAACCAAAGGCCCAAAGGGGTTGGCCAATTGACCAAGTCTCTTGCAACTTTGCAACCGAGATCCGGGCCAGGTGGCTCCACTGGAAGCGGCACCTTAGAACGGTGCTGGACTCCAACATCTGAAAGCCATGGCATGAACCGGTCCAGTTCCGCAAAATTCATGACACTCATCGGTTCTTACTGTGACGCTTCATTAGAAATAATCTTCAACAGACTTCTGCAACAATGATTAAGACAATGTTTCAACACATGCGGTTCCTGCCATGAGCATGGATCGCTGCAGCATGCTGTGTTTATCTGTTGTTTTTTTGGACTAGACTATAGCACCTATAATATAATGTTAGGTGCTTTCGAGTGCTGTGGCACGGCTGGTGAAAGCTGTTCGATCGTTTATCTAGGATTTGCGTGGTCGGGCTGCATGCGTCTAGTGAAAGCCAGTCAAATTATGTTACGCATGGGGAGATAATTGTACCATTATTCGATCTTGGCCATTGTGGGGTCCACACAAAATATTTGGACAAGCCTGCTGCTTGTTTCCGGGCTTGTTTCTGTAAACCCACTGGAATCAAGATCCAGAGTGTTTCACACTACTTCACACATGCCACTGCACAACCATATGACAATAGGACTGTATGAACGGGGCATGTCGGACCAAGACTTGAACATCTCCGCTGTCTTGAGTTGTGATCTGCTTTGCAGCCCAAGCCTAGTTCCAAAAGCAACGTGGTCCAAGTCTAGAGTGCGCTTTGTTGTTCATAAGATCGTTGCTGGATAAAACATTGATACCGCATGATACCGTCCTATCCTATCAGTGTGTGACTTTGAATGGACATAGGTCTGCGGCGTTTCTCGAAGATGATGCAAGGCCAGTACCTGCGGTGATTGGACTCGCAGCACATGATAGGAACCAACTTAGCCACCAACGGGCGAGTTTAGTTGTCAATCTTTTTGACATGGACCTCCCTAAAAGCGTCAACCTAGCGTCAACATCCAAGTTCTCATAGACACCCCAAATTCTCCGAGGAGGATTTGCCTTCCCCTCCCAGCTCGCCTTTAGTTGGACCAAGTCCCATGAGCAGGACAGCCGCAGGTGGCCTTGGCGTTCGCTGAACGACCGCAGGTGGTCGGGACCCCACCCTTTTTCTGGCGATGGCCTCCAACCATTGATTGGGTCCACACGAAGCAAGCTCTTTGTGTCCCCAATTTGGTTCCCGAGGTGCTGTTTTTTGCATTCCTATTGTTGAAGCAATGGTCTACATCACAACTTGCAATGGTCTTCTGCCGTGTTTGGACGGTCCTCGTGGTGCAGGAGGACCAAAACAGTCTGAACGGATTATATAAATGCTGCTTCAGCTGACAATTGATTGTGGCAACTGACAACGAAAAAACCCTCTCAAACAGGGATATCGATCTCAACAGTCTTCTCATCGCACAAACACAATGAACAACATGTACTGCGGTATAATCTTCGAGGCATAGAACATTCTATCCTACTTCTGCTAGGGCATGACACTGCTTGCTAGGGTCCTTTGGGCTTGAATGGTCAGAAAAGGGTTGTGGCAATACAGCCCTAGATCTTACAAGTATTTACAATTCCACCATGGCCCAGCTTGTCTCATCCCTACCGAGATGCGTGATGCGGAGGCTCATCCCGCGAGCCACTAAGCCCAGGCATAGGAGCAGGTCAACCCCTGACAAAACTGAGATCATCTGAGATCGATATTACAGTATGCATTATTATATAGATTCGATTATTATAAGTTTATAATTACGACATGTTATAAAGAATCCATGCGGAGTCCTCAAGACGTCGCAAGTGCCGCAACCAGGTTTGCTTGATCTTGCTTGCTGGAGTGGCTCTGTTTACGAGGGCAACGGTGAACTTCCGGCGACATAGCGACAACACCAATCAAGCCAGCTTCGCACTGCCGTACTCCTCCCATGAATGAGGTGGGCCTAAAGTTGGTTTCAGTCTCCACTGTTGACTGAACAGACACATTCGTCCAGTGACTATTCCAATGATCTGCACTGTAAAACCCAATAGAATATTGATGACGCCATCATACGCTAGTCTGACAATGCATAGCAACTTTCTACGCTTCATACCACTCGGCAGAAATCGATATAGCTGGTCCATCCCGTTTCGCTATAATCGAGCACTATGACTGGGGCACAAACACCAAAGTAACGCTTCTCAAGCTGCTCGGAGACACTGCTAGCCGTCCACTTCCAGAGAGTCTTGCAAAATCCTGAGACTGGTAGTCCATTGCGTTAGGCCCGGCTTGACATTGGTGCTTTTCTGTTTATTATCATTTAAACGATATAAAAAAGTAATAAACAGTATATAAAGAGTATATAGATGCTCGTGCGTTGAATTTGCGTCATGGTCTGGACTAGCAGCCCTTCCGGTGCAGAAGGTAGGCTCTCCCTCGTGAACCAAATTGCTTGGGTCAAAACATCATCAAAGCCTCTGGGTTTTCCAAAGCTCAACAGGAGATAATTATTGTTCACCCCGCATGGTTTTGGGTGCTGGCTCTGAACAAACCGGGTCTTCATGTCCCAGGCACTGTCGTTGCCGAACCTTCCACTTCAGCAAAGATGTAGTCGTGCCCTGCAAAGCCTGTGCAACACCATTAATGCAGCGAGCATAAACTATCAAACCCTTTCCCGGCCGACCCGTTCGATCCTCTCCAAACTACCAGTGAAATGATGTGAAACGCATTGATATACGACAGGTCTGGGGCAGCTAAATCTCATCTGCTCCAAGACATGTCACTTCGGGTGAAGCTGAAGAGAAGTCTTTCGGGCCAACATCTCGACTCAGAACGCCTGTAGCTATGCCAGCATGTTGGGCCGTCGCTAGAGTGAACTCGATCTGCAGGCTCTGCAGCCTGGACAATCCCCATCATCTTGGCAAACACCATGAATATTGTGGATGTGACTAATTAATCTATTGCTGCTACAACGTTGTCTGCTTGCCTTGCTTCGCATGTCGTCGAATGCCCGGATGGTTGGAATGCAATATCAGGACAGTTACTGTATCTTTTCTGTAATTATAAACACGACCACAAGTCCTCTTTTCACGCGTTGCAGAGAGTTGGTCA